TGACGACTGGGCGATCCAACTGTTGACACCGCAGATCGCTCAGATTTGACGTACCCGTCCACGCAGCAAGAGTCTCGCTTTGCCATCTTTCGCTTCTTCTTCTTAACCGTCGGTGATATGCGAGCATTCAATGAAACGTCGCTCTCCTCGTTATCGCTTGTTTTGTCCGAATTAGGCGCAAAGCCACTGTCAGAGCAATTGGTTTTGCCTTCGTCCAGATCACTGTCATCATCATTGTTGCACGAACTTGCCTTAGAGCTCTTCTCATCGCCATTTTTGCTTGAGCCGCTTTGCCTTTTGTGCTTCATTCTACGGAAAAAATTAATTAAAATAAAAAAGACTAAACAAAACGTTGACGCCAGGCTTACCTTCGATTTTGAAACCACACTTTTACCTGTCGTTCGGTCAAGTCTAATGAGGCGGCAATCTCAATTCTTCTTGGCCGACAAAGGTACTTGTTGAAGTGAAACTCCTTTTCCAGCTCCAGTAACTGGTTGTTAGTGTACGCAGTTCGAAGACGTCTGGGTAAACTACTTTCGCCTATAGAGACAGGTAGAACGGGAAGAAAAAACAATCAGTCAATTAGTTAATTGTGTAAATGGGTCAGCAGAGTAATTAATTGGTTCATAAGTAATGCCCTTCAATTGGCGACAATCAGCACAGTGCAATAACTATTGTGTGCAGTTTCAGTTGCTACCTTCTCATTCAAACACTAGAGGGAGAAAGCATAGGACTACCAACAAGTTGAACGAGTCTGNTCATAAGTAATGCCCTTCAATTGGCGACAATCAGCACAGTGCAATAACTAATGTGTGCAGTTTCAGTTGCTACCTTCTCATTCAAACACTAGAGGGAGAAAGCATAGGACTACCAACAAGTTGAACGAGTCTCCAATTTTCCCACTCGATCAATTTATTTATTTATTTTTTATTACATTTCAGTTTGACGTTGCCAAGCGTGCAAAGCCGGTTGCACACCATTGCCGTTGTAAAGGTTATCAGAACAACAGCAAAGTGAAAGAGAGAGTGAACTGGGTGCCAATTAGACAACTTCTAATTGCCCTTTATTACTTTTAATTGCCGGCACCAAGCAGTATCCACCAAACAATAGTGGCGGCGTTGCTCAATAGCTATAAACAAACCAATCGATAGACAAAACAGAAGATCCGATATAAAAAACTGTCAATTCCTGAGAGCTTTCAGTTGGTGTCGGTTTGTTTGCCTTGGTTTGGTTTACCTAGGAAAAACCATTAATTGTGGCTAGCAGCAGTGACGAATATGTCAGCATTGATTAAAGCCCTGTCAGGCCATTCATCAGTCGATTCACAGAAGAAAACAAACCATTGCTTGCTAGCCAGCTTGATTCTAAATTCTTAATTGTTTTGACATGCTTTTGCAATTTACTTAAAAATGTTCAACAGACAAAACAAAACACGAAACACAGGTACTATCCTCAAACGCAATAAAAGTTTCTACTGGTAAAATATTGTAGCTAAGAGAAAAGTTTAAATGTGATTCTACCAGTCGGCCAAAAAAGAAGGAAGAAAAATCAAAACAGCAACACAAATGCGAATGAGAAGGTAGTGTTGCGGCTAGCAATTGATTTTTCCCGTTGCCGTCTTTCCCCTGTTGAAACAATGTTTTTTTGTCATTTTCCATTAAGACTACTGGCAGTCTGGGGAGACTGCAAAGTAAACAGGATTGTGCATGGAGTGTTTCTGCCTCTAATGCTAGAGTTGCAGAGTAGGATCAGCAAAGGAGGTTCTCCAATCAATCGACCACAGTTCATCAGTAGAAGCCATGTGAAGGACAGTGAACAGCAGCAACAGCAGAAGCAGCAGCAGCCGTCGCGTCGATTAACTGGGAGACTCGTGCAAAGGGGGACAGCCTCCATGTAAATGTGATCCAGTGGTAATGGATTAGTGGTCGACGAAGAGGCAGGATAGAAGCAGACAGTGACAGACAGACAGACAGGTCGCACGCGCGAGTGCAGAGAGGGAAGGAGGATGGAGCAACTCGCAGCTTCATCATCACCCAACTTCAGCGGTGATGAATTCTGCCAGTGAAACTGCCACTGAGGACAAACATCAGTCGTGCTGCAGCTGATGTCATACTGGTAGCCAGGTCGAATCTCCCTCTCCTCTGCCTCCTTCTTTTCCCCTAATAGCAATCCCTTGTTCTCATCTTTCTCACTCGCTCATGTGTTTGCCTTGATAGAATATAATTTAATTTGCCATTGTACGCACTCCAGCAGGAATATCGCAATGTTCGATTGCAATCGACAGTCAGTGTCCCTATATGGGGTGAGAGATGCTTCGACTTTTTGGCGGACAGCAACAGCAACCACAGCAGCAGCACTTTGGTATTGATTGGCCATGAGAGGGCCTCAACTCTTTGCTCGGTGGGCTCAATCGAGCAAAGAGTTGATATAGAATCAATAGTCGTGGACAATGCTGTCGTCGTTGTCGTCGGTATAGGAAACGCGTGTCGCTTGGCTGCCGAGAGGAAGTGACTCTGGTGGTTGGCAGGAAAAGAGTAAAAAGCGGAGTTCGACTCGGGCTGAATGCAATCTGGGCTTGGCAGCGTGCAAGAAAGCAGGGGAGGGAGAAATGGAGAGAGAGAGCGAGAGCTGGCAAGACAGATAAAAGGCACAGAGGCAACGTAAGCGATAGCGCTGGGAAGGAATTGAAGTGTGAGTTCGGCTGATTGGGTTTCATTCACGGCGACGGCTGCGAGGAGAAGGCAGAAAGGAAGAGAACGGGAGAGAGAAAGCGAGAGAAAGCTGGCAACAGAGCACAGTGCCATAGACGTAGACGGCGAAAGACACCAGCGTGAGCATCAGCAGCAGCAGAGACAACGCTGCTGTGACTGGTGGCCCGGTGACTGACGCTCCATTCGCCAGTGCCGCCATGGTCTGCCTGCATGACTGACTTCAGCAGTGACTTCCACTTGCGGCAACAGCAACTGCAGCAGCAGCCGTCGTCGCCGCAGAAAGAAAGAGCAGAGAGTGAAAAAGCTCCAGCTTTGTTTTAGCTGCCGCTGCTGATGTTGATGTTGCCGATGTCGGCGGCGATGTTGCAAGCGGAGAAAAACGGTACGAGCTGTTTGAAATCGTTCCTTTTGTCTGGTCGCGCGTTCACTCGGACCGAAGAGGAAAGGAGGCAGAGGATGGAGAAGCATGTGGCTTTTTGCCTGCATCTCTCTCTTTCTCCTTTCTGTCTGTAAAAGGGCGGCCATTCTTTGCAGGCGCCTTATCTCCTGCCGTAGCACGAGCAAAGGTAAGCTTCAGCTCGGTTCTGCTCTACTCTTGCTCGACGACCCAGGCAAGCCGAAGAGCAAGCGTTGTTCTCGGGCCGATGTGACGCGCGCCACTTGCGACTCGCTTCACCGCAACCACACGACGACGACGACGACCGAATCAACAGCGACCAGCAGCGGTAATGGCAGATAACCAAGCAGAGGAAACAGGCGAAGAAGAAAAAGAAGAGGAGCAGGCACCAGCACCCGAGCGGCAGAATCGACACGCCACCAGGCCGTCGGGCTCACTGCTTTTTGTCTTATCGCCGTCGAATAGATCAACGCTGCGAAAAGAAAGAAGAGAGAGAGAGAGAAGCCGGCGCGGCACAGCAGCCTACTGCATCGAGGGGAGTACTGAAGTCTGCTGCTGATGCTGGCAACTGTGGTCGGCCTGAGTGCAAGAGAATGGCTAGTGAAGCAAATAGCGAACAGATGAAGAGGACGATAATTGGTGAAAGCAAACAAATCGACGCCGCCACATGCGACCTTGTCTTCACTGCCTCGTGCCCCAAGATAAATTGACTTTCCTCTTTTCTATCAGTGAAATAGGGAAGAGGAAGAAGAGAAACAGAGGAGGTTTTTGTATTCAGTCAACGAGAAAGCAGTTGTTTAAAGGTGTAGTACAGCCTGGACAACATTGCTACCACTGATTCGGTTTGACCACTGGTCTGCGGTCAAACGGAGACAAATCGCATCCGGCGTTAAATGGATTTCCCGTCTCTAGAGATTTAGCCGACCACAACATCATTTCTCTTCACTCGACAACTGAAGATGACACTGATCAAGCAAGAATAGCTGATAATGCAAGTACAAGCAAGTTTTCTGAAAAATCGGATGAGCAGTAGAACAGAACATCAATTGACTGAAAGCTGAAACAGAGCGAACAGCAGTCTAATGAAGCCGCATTGACAGCAGTTCAATTGAGAATTATGCCAAGCAGCTTCCGTTTCCGGGACAAACAGAACAGCATTGAGAGCTGCTCATCGATGGGTCGGTGTCGTTTGTCAAAAAAAATAGAAATTAATTAGCGCCTTTTTCAGCATCAGCAGCAGAAACCGACAGAATAGCCCTGACAGTTGCCTAGTGAGCTATAAATCTAAAGTTATGACACTGATGGCAGGCAAGAAAAAAGCACCAACAACAAAAAACAAAGAGTTGCCAAAAAAGTNTGCCTAGTGAGCTATAAATCTAAAGTTATGACACTGATGGCAGGCAAGAAGAAAGCACCAACAACAAAAAACAAAGAGTTGCCAAAAAAAGAGCATTCAGAGAAAGCAAAAGTGAGAGGGTTGCTTCGATTGCATGCTCAGTGAACCTAATCAATGGCATCGCCAATTTGGTCGCCACTCGACAGGCACGAAAAATGGGCGCAGCAATCGGGTTTGACATTTCTCACTGTCACCACCGACTGCTGAGTGTCATCGATTGAAGCAGCAACGGCAGCAGAATGCCTCAGAATAACAACAACAACAACAGCCACTCTTTTTGCCGTTGGTCATGATCTGAATGCTGCTAAGTGCCTGCTGTTGTCACCGAAAGAAGAAGAAAGTGAACCGTAGAGCGACCAATTGGTGGCACTTAGTGCACTTTGCAGTCTCAGTTGCGGAAAAAGCAACATTAATTGTTTTCATTTAGAGTTTTCACTCATTACACAAATCCACCCCTTTTTCTCTCTAATGCGTTCTGTTTACGGTTGTCCTGCTAGTGCTGCTAAGTGGCGCCGCATGACATTTTCATAAATGGCATCTTTTAACGTTTCAATTTTAAGTTTGTTCATTTTGCCTTGCTAGGCCAGCTAATGTGACCGGACTAGAGAAAAGAAGAATATGTCCATTTGTGTCTCTCTTTTGAACAGTTCCTGAAACTCAAATTGTACTGTGCTCGTTGTAACCCTTGCCGAGCACTCTATTTCCTCCTCGTCACTGTCAGTCAGTCATTTCGTCTTTTTTAGAGCACCGTTGATTTCTTATCTCCTTTTGGACAACACTCTCTACACTTGTTGTCATGGCCTCTTCACACCGACTATCTATCGAGAATCGTATAGCTAAGCCTATAAAGAATGCAGAATGCAGAATGCAGCTCACACTGTGTCTGACCACAATGCCGACGCATCGCCAAATATAGCAACAAAGTTGAGAATGAAAGAGTTCCTGGTCGGCAGCACTGCCGTCATGCGGCCATAAAGTCATAATGACGGTGGCGAGACAAGAAAAAGAAGAAGTAGTGACACGAGGAAGAAGTCATAAAACTGGTCAATATTGGCCGCTTCAATGCAGTGCACTTTTTCCTTTATGGCTGTCAGTGAAAAGGGGTTAGAGAGAGNAATGCAGTGCACTTTTTCCTTTATGGCTGTCGGTGAAAAGGGGTTAGAGAGAGAGAGCAAGAAGAGAAGCCAGAAAAAGAGAAACGAGGGACAAAAACAGTGATTGCAATCTTTGATTGAAGCAAAAGCCGCCACTTTGGCCTTACAATTAGCGTTTGCCATAGAGCATTGTTTTAGTGCAGATATGGCATCTCCTGGACTGGCTTCCTAGGGTCGCTCTTCAGAACCTGAAAAAGCCGCAAATGTACACAGGCTGCAAACACTGGCAACAATTCACAACGGGGGCTGCTGGAAAGCAAGTGCATTGAAGGACAATTGAGTCGACTTCTAAGGCGATTCGGCAATCGACAAAGAGTGTGTGCCAATGTGCCATGTCCTCATGGCCTAGCATGGTTTCGGTTTTTCTTATCAGCTTTTGCCTAGCTAGGCAGTTGAAACAGGCGTAAAACCGAAATTTCCACTCGTGTTACACACCACATAGAAAAAAGCTTAAAGTAAATAGAGAAAGTAGCCAGTAGTGGTTGTGCTGCTGGTGGTCAATTGGTTGCGCACATTCTGTGTAATATCTGTGCAATGAATGCCAGTGTGTGCAAATGTGTTTCTATCTCTTTCTCTTTTGAATGAAAACACCGACAGCACTTGCGTTTTATCGTATCTGCAAACTTTCGCTTGTTCAAGGCCTACTGGCTCATGCAGGCTTACAGCTTGAGTTAATCCTTTTACAGAGTTAAGTGGCGAAACAAATGAAAAGCAGGCAGCGTAAACGTATGGCAAAAACACACATATTTTTCAAATTCAGCAATGCACTCAAGACAGAATTGCAGATAAATATGTTTGCTAATGAGAAACAGTCCTGACAGATTGGCCGAGAAGTGGAGGAAAATGGGGAGATGAGGAAGAGACGTAGAAGAAAGGGTCTCGCTGCCAATTGGTGTGAACTGCACGCCGCGAAGGCAAGAGAGGGAGAGTCAGAGAGGTGCCAGTCTTGACTTGCGACAAATTAGTTAAGCGTGTGATTAAGCTATTAAGTGCGCTATCCGATATCAGCTTTGTAGTGGCAAAAGCAAAGAGAGGAGCGAAAAGTGTGATGATGAAGTTATGATTCGATTGCTGCTGCTGCTCCCACTGCAAAAGCACTACTGGAAAGCACTTGGCTTCATTAATCATCGCGTAATGAGTAGCCAGAAGAGAGTGAGCGAAAACGGCCAGAACGAGGCGCTCTCGTGCTGGTGTTGCTTTCCCTTCTCATTTCATTGCAGTGATGCTTCCCATTCAAAGTCAGCTGACAAAACTGGGAATGTTTGAAGACAAGCTGTCAGTGGGAGAGAGTGAGTGCCCACACCGGTGACCACTTGTGTGTGCCTTCACTTGATTAATAGCCTTCACACTCTCACACCTGATTTAAGCGACAGCATGTCACACTAATCAGCGTAGTTCAACTAGTCATTGCTTCTTAGCTGTAGTCTACACTATTTGTTAGCACGGCTGTCATTGCCAGAGAAATAAAGTAGGTGACAAGTGAGTTAATTTATTCATCACTTCAGCTAATGGCACAAGCGGTAAATCGCTTTGCCTTCATCTTTTTTAACCGCACCATAATTGAGTACTTAATGTGTTGCTCTGTAAATAAACAAATTGCTCTTGCCACCACCGCCGATGAATGCTGTTCCGAGTGGCCAGCAAATTAATGAAGTGGTGAGATAACCTACTCCTGCCAGTGCTACCGAGTCCCGCGACTCCCCTTGGGAATGTGACACGGAAACTAATGAATGTCCTTTTGCTACTGGTGCCAATTAATTTGCCAATTACTGCCGCCTGTCGCTGGCTTAGACCATATTTGTTCAGAAAATCAATCAAACAATGCAACTAACCTTGATGTTGTTTCCGCGTTGATTTCTTCTCCTTGATCCAGGCAAAGTTACCACTACCAGCAGCAGCAGCAGCAGTAGCAGAAGCAGTTTTGCAGGTGCTCACAGATTCATCAACGGTGGCGATAGCCGAAGATTCGGTGTTGTAGTCATTTTCATTGCCTATTGCTAGAGACATGATTGCAGGCGTAGAGCTTTGACTTAGACTGTCCACAGAACAGGGATTGCCGTCGCTGGTGATGCCGATGACTGGCTTGGATTCAAGTGGCGATGACATCTGTGACTGCCTAGCACAGGACATCAAAGTGCTCCCGGGAACAGCAATGGTGGGAGGGTACAGAGGATTGGGCGGAGAAAATGACTGGTTTCTGCTGAGGTCGGTGTGGCTGTTGACAAGGACGCCATTGTGATTGTTGGTGCTGTTCGAAGAGCAGTTTACTGTTACTGAGTACGGCTGAGTTGAGGGGGGGCTGAGCTGTATATGACTGCTGGGCGTCTGAAAATCAGAGGAGATCGACTCGGCTAATGATCGGTAGGGAATCTCTATCTCCATGATGCGGCAACTGGAAGATGCACTATCACTAATGAGTTGATTAAAGCACTATTCACACAAACGATGAGATGAGAAAGAGTTGGTGTGATGTACGTCAATTTGACCACAAACACTAGGAAAGTATTGTTGTAAACAACTTGGAATCAAAGGGTTGAGAATATATACTCGTGGTGGTGCTGTTTGTCTGCACAGTGAGGTCCACTCTGTGTGAATGGTTTTGCTCAAATGTTGTTGACGGTGTTCATTGCACACTGGGCATTGTCTTCCCCGTCCTGGCCCAGCAAGAGACAAAAGGGGGCAGTAATTCCTGTGAAGTGCTCTGTCTGTCCACCCTCTCTCTTCCTCAGTGCTTCTTGCGTATGACTGAGGCAACTCTGAAGGGCAATTCTCCGCCAACAGCTCACAGACTCACAAACTCACACATTCACACGTGATACGAGTGAAGTAAAGCTGGCTACTTGTGGACAGCCAATGGGAGATGGTGATGCACCGTATGCTCAACACCGACACATGGAGGAGTCGCAGAGAGCTGTCCACGCACACACACACAGACAATCGTCCAAGTGACGTGTGTCCGTCAGTGACCACAAAGACAGCAGCTCTCTTTCGCTTTCTCACTCACTAGCTCACACCGAAGAGCAGCAGCCCCAGCTGTCAATCAGCACTTCCAGTCTGCACCACTCGGAGACGAGGGCAGTTTGGAGGGCAGCAGCTCGAGTGATATTTCAATAATGATTGGCCCTGGCAGGCGAGACATGCACCACTTGTAATCTTGCGGTCTGGCTCAATAGCTTCGAAGCTGGCTGGAGATGCTTGCCGCGCGCTCTCTCCTCACTTCACCAGGCAGTGGAGAAATGTGGCAAAACTATAGACGGTGACGACTGTGCCTTTTCCACGGTGGCGGCAACGGCGACGGCGGAAAACAGGAACCGGAGGTTGGTGGGCAGAAAGTGATCAGCCTGTGATCGTGCATGAGCTCGTGCTTTGGGCGCTGGAGCACGGTGCACTGGGCTGCACTTGAGCTGTTCTTGCTCCTGCTTCACAAGCTTTGCCAGCAGCGGCAGCAGCAGCTTCTTTCGACCAAGTTCGACGACGTTTAGACTGCGGCGACAAGCTTCAGCCTCAGCTTCAACTTCAGCAGCCAGTGAACGGCGGCAGATATTCACATGGATTGCTATTATCTGTGCCCCCACAAGCGTCCATTATGGTCGTCATCATCATCCTCGTCGTGTTTTCTATTATTATCATCATCCACTTCGCTAGGGCAGCACTATATCATTTGGCGACTGCGGTCTGCACTTTCTAAGCCTGCTATTATCAATGGCACCAGTGCGAAGAAAAAAGAAACGATACGAGAGTGGCGAGTGGAAGGAAAAGAAAGAGAGGAGAAACAAACAAACGGAGACACTGCAGTTTAACCAGTAGGTGGAAATTTTGTCTTTGCTTTCTACACGATCGTGGTGGCTCGCCTTCCACTAAGGTCGATTAGCTTGCACACCGAAACACAGCAGCAGTAGCACACTGCACACAGTTGAACACACGGCCGCCAATTCAAAGTGAAATCGCAATGCTGCAATCAATTCAAAGTTGCTCACTAGTCGCAGACTCAGGTGATGGTGATGGTGGTGGTGGTGGTTGGTAGAGCTTGTGGTTGCTAATACTTTTGCAGTGATACTGTTTTATCTTTATAAGTCAACACAAGTTCAAGATGACTCTTATNTCAGGTGATGGTGATGGTGGTGGTGGTGGTTGGTAGAGCTTGTGGTTGCTGATACTTTTGCAGTGATACTGTTTTATNACTCAGGTGATGGTGATGGTGGTGGTGGTGGTTGGTAGAGCTTGTGGTTGTTGATACTTTTGCAGTAATACTGTTTTACCTTTATAAGTCAACACAAGTTCAAGATGACTCTTATATTAGAATGATGTTGATGAAGTAGAAGTTAAAGTAGCGGGAAATAAATAGTGGAAAAAGGAAAAATTTGTCGTAGCAGAGAAGGTATAGAATCAGTGATGCACAAGAAATGACTGTGTGCGCACGATTGACAGGTGAGCAATGTCTACAGAGACAGTATTGCCTGCAGCAGATAACACTTCAGTTTGCCTGGTTTGTGGTAAGGTAAAAGAAATTGTTCACTGCCTCTCTTGCAAGACTATTCAGCAGACGGGTTTAGAAAGAAAGGTGGCTTTAAAATGAGGCAAAAAAGGCCGGCCTCTAGCAAAGTAGTGGAGGTGGTGGTGGTGGTGAGAGGAAAGAATGACTGACTTGGCGCTGACAGGCACTACTCTGACGAGTGGCGGTGATAGTCGTCTTGGTGGGCGATGTTCATATTCTGAAACTGACGCCTGTGTGCGTGTAAATTGAATTTACGTTGAGTTGATTCATTGATGCGGTCACTGGTTCCTGGCTGTTTGTGTCCGTCTGTGGTTGGTTAGTGAGGTCATGTGCCGATGGAGTGCTGTTTCAGTCTTTCGGAGTGTTCTCTCAGTGCTGTGAAGAGGCTGCCTGCATCGAATGAGCGAGTGCATTGTTGCTGTCACATCGTTCATCTGTGCCGAACTGTTGTGAGGCACTCTGTCTCATGTCTCTACACGTGCTGCAACACTGTGCCTGTGCGTGCGTGTAGTCTACTGTGGTAGACTCTCTTTCTCTCACTCTCTCCCTCTCCTCCTCAGTGAGTGCTCCCTCAGACCACCACCATGTCTTCGGATTGTCTTCGTCTGTGCCGCTCAGCGTCAACGCAACTCCCGCCACCGAATCACAGCGCCGCGATTTAAATGCGAGTGCGTACTGGCGCCGAACAGTACGACCAACCAGTGCTCCTCTCTTTCCCTCTTCCTTTCTACTCTTATTCTTTCTCTTTCTCTCTCTCTCTCAACGCCACTGATTCAAGCGCAGGCTGTATTGCTAATTAATTCACAGTTGCTGGAATTTAAACACACACACAATAATTTTGTACCAAAATTTTACCTTTTTGAAAAGTGTAGCAGCAGTTTAGTTTTGAGCTAAACAGGTCGACTTTGATAAACTGAGGAGGCCTTCAGGCAATGCAAAAGCAAACAACAATTTGTGGTTTTCTAATTACTCCTTATAATTACTCCGCCAGTGCCTTCAATTGCAATATTTGGTTTTAGATACTCAGAAATATTTTTTTATTTGCAGTATTTACAAAGCAAAACCAGCCGCATACAAATGAAATTGGATGCTGAGCAAAGACAAAAACACTGCAGTAATTGGTGTGAGCCTGAAGGCACATTAAGACGCACTTGAGGAAAGCGTCCTCTTGCTTTTTTTCGTCGTCAAATAATCAATCAATTGAAAGCAAAAGCAGTGAGGCAGTTTTGGTGCTTAATTACTGCCCACAACGAGTAAAGGTGAATGTGTTGTACTGCTGCTGTTTGCTTTCTGCTTCATCCACAACTACTGCTACTGTTGCTCAGACGGTGTTTGGTATTCTTAGTGCCCAGTGTGCCCACTGGTCTACACTTTCTCCGTCGGTTGCCAGGTGGCCACCCACAATCCATGTACTGCTATTGTCACCTAGTTATCAGCAAGTCGGTCACCAGAACCGGCAGCACTACTGCCAGTTTATCTGATTTCCCGTCACTTGGTGCCAATAGGTCTGTCTGTCAGTGTGTGATGTAGTGTTTACTGTTCGGTGGAACAGGGCAAACAGTAAACAACGCCAAGACCACCAGGGCAAAGTGCAGTGCCAAAGGAGCTCGATTTGCTTCCTCTTTGGTGTTCATTAATAGTATTTGTCTATGCTTTGTTGCTGTTCCATTCATTAAGGATCATAATCGGCATTTATTCGACTTGCCGATAGTGTTTGTCACGCAACCAAATCCACTGCTCACGCAACTGGCTTTCATTTCTCCTGCCCGAGCAACACACCGCAGCAGCAGTAAGCGCTTTCATAGCCTTTCTACAGCACACTCGTTGCACAGTTCAATTTGCACTGATCGCCACTTTTTTGGCTCCCCTCTTCCTCTACCTGTCTTTCTTTCTTTCTGGTGGTGGCAGGACCGAGTTGTGCAAAGCCACCACAGCTCACCTACTGCCACAGCCTTTTGCCCAGTTGCTCACCTGATCGTCGAATGCAGCAGTGCAACACGCTGACACTGTTCAGTGAGAGAGAGAGAGAGAGAGAGCTGGTATTTGCTGGCATTGTCTACAGGCACCGTTGCATTTGCCTAGTGCTGGCAATCGGCCTTATTATCGCCATTGATTATCGATTGCGGCAATATTTCATTTCAAGTGCGATGCCATCAACAGCTTGTACACTTGATCTCCCTTCTTCTCTCCTGCACTTCACACCAGCTTCGCACTTACAGCTCAATCTCTTCTGCCGTCATCTAGATTGACGCAGTCCACCAAGAGCACCAGCGAAGCGCAATTTTTTTTAAGTGCTAGCCCGGGATAGTTAGGCCAAGCTCAATCTTTCCCTTTTGCGGGAACACGACAGAGGCGACTTTCTCTCTCACGTTTGTCACTGCTCACTGACAGACCGACTTGCTAATTACTAGATAAGGTTACTGCTGAACAGCTCAAGTGTAGATTTAAAACATTACAGCGTATTATGGGCGCCATCAAGAAGTGCACAACAAGCATGATTGAATAGCCCAACTTGCTGTTGCGGCTGCTTATCTTATGGCCAATGCATTTACTTGACACGCTTTGATGCAAATTGTCATACACTTATACCTGCAGTAGTTGTTGTAGTACA